TTTTTTTTTTTTTCTTTCTGCCTTAAATGATATTGAAACCAGGTAATGAGCCTGCTGGGAAAGCCCTGAAAACAGGGGTAGAATTATAGTTCTGCTTTTTACTGACCTTCATGAGGAAGATAATGTTATTATTAAACCTCAGTAGGTTCTGCAGCATAAAAATTAGCATAGTACAAGTTGTTTAAATTACCTCTATTTATCTCACATGTCAAATTTTACAGAAGTATTCATGTTCAGTAGGACGTAAGTATACAGTAGGTTATTACCTTTAGTAGATTTTAAAAGCAGTGGTCAGGTTTAAGCACCATAACACTGCCTATCGAATTTGAATTTGTTAGCTGAAGTCTAACGTGGATTTAGCAACCCCAACAAAATGAATGTAATGGAACAAGGCAGCAAAACCTTCAGCCAAGTTTAGAGCCTTGTGTTTAAAATTTTGGCAGAATTGCCCACTGAGGGCTTTTACCAGGACAGCAACATGGGTCAGGGGAACACACCTTTGACTGACGTACCTTTGTTGACAAAAGCTTTATAGCATCAACCTGGCTTGTTTATCTTGTAGCAGTCCTAAACAAAAACAAATCTATTCCAGATATTTTCCAGAGCTGACCAGTTACAAACCCTTCGTTAGCAATGATGCATTTCAGAGGTAGAGGAAGAGGGGTGTGTTGGAAAACTTGTTAGCAAAAGACAAGCAGGCATTATTCCTTAATCTATGGCATTCCTAAAATCTCACTTAAGTCCGGTATAAAAGTTAGCAGATCATCCCAAACAAATGGCAGGTGCAGCCTTACAGAGGCCTTGCTATCCATTAGTTTGCAGAGACTGGCTCTTTAACAAACCCTGAACGTTTGGATAACATCACTGCCACCAATAGTAACAACAAAAACCCCATAAAGCCTTGGAAAATCACAGTGGTTTGTTTCTTGTATCTCAGTATAATTTTTAAGAACCGTTCCTTTTCTGTTTTCTGCCAAAAGATAGAATACATACTTCCAGTTCAAACATTCACATAAACGTTACAATGGTTTTTCCTTTAATAAAACAAGTACCTCTAAGCAAAGAATATTCATACGAAACTACTAGAAAAGTAAAGACGACCCCCTGCTCACTGAAAGAAATTCCCAGGGCATCCAGTCCCTGTTCAGTCATGGGTAAGGCAGAAGAGGTTTGTGTGTTTTGTGGGAAAAGGTGGCGTGTGGTTACGTGTGCCAAGGATAAAGATCAAAACCAAAAGAGAGAGAGATGGTGAGGGAGGCATCACCATTTCTTTAAGTGAAGTACTTGGGCTGGCGCACACTTAGGTAGACTGCTCTCCCCACCATCACCAGCCCAGGAGAAGGGTGGTGGGTTCCACCACTGCTGTGGCTTTCCCACAGTATCTGAAGGGGCTGCCAACCCTGTGAGATGGTCCACAGACACAGCTTCTGCGCTTGTGAATTCAACTCTATGTTTTTTCACAACTACTTAGGCCACTGAGAAGGTGTACTATTTTAATGGCAAGAAATGCCCCTGCTGAGTTTGGTTTTAAGAGAGCTGAGTAGGGTGACAGTAACATAAAGGAAAGAGGCATGGAGGTGGGAGCCAGCAGAGGCTGAAAGTTCCCCATGGTCCCCCTACCTGCTCCAGATAATCAATATGGCAATGAAGTCAATGTGAGCAAAAAGAAGTGGCATTTCTTGCCAGATCACCAAGATTTGGAGGGAGAGTTGGACTAAATGCATCAGCTTGGCTGTGGACCTTTCTTTTTTTAAAAAAAGGGAAAAAAGGAACTTTTTTTTTTAAATGTTAAAGCTACATTTGTTTAGGCCTCCCATGACTGAACAGAGTATGGGGAGTTGCCCCCTTTTTTGTTTTTTTTCTTTTTTCTTTTTTTTTTAAGCAGCAAGTCTACAGAAAGGTAAATCACTGCGGATGGGCTCGAAGCTCATTCTGGAGTCTTTGGCTTATGTGGGAGAGGTATGCATTCGCAGGTGGCTGATCAGATTGCGCTGCTGGGTGAATTTCCCACCACACAGTTGACATTCGTAAGGTTTTTCTCCTGAGTGGACACGCATATGCTCTGTCAGTCGGTACTGCCGGGTAAAGCGCATCCCGCATTCCTCGCAAGCAAAGGGCTTGAGCCCTAAGTGGCTGCGCATGTGCCGTGTCATGGTGCCCCTCTGCGTGAACATCTTGCCACAGATGTTGCAAGGGAAGGGCCGCGTCAGCCAGTGAGTCTTCTCATGCTGCCGCAGCGTGGCTGGATCCTTGTAGCTCTTCTCACACACTGAACACTTGAAGGGTCGGGACTCCGCGGCATAGGACTGGTTGGGGTTGGACAAATCCTCGGCTTCATCCTTGCCGCCGTACGTGCCTTCCTCCTTGATGTAAAGGTCTTCCTCGGTGTGCGTCTCCACATGGGCATTGAGCTGCTCGGAGCTGGGGAAGCCTTTGCCACAGGGAATACAGACATACAGGTTGTCACCGTAGGCCACTGGCTCAAACCCCTCCTGCCGGTAGACATAGTTGGCACTAGTATGCCCGCCACTCTCACTCTCACTCTGGCCACTGTCGTCACTGTTCTCCTTACCATTTTCCACCTCCTCCTTACACGGGTAGGGTAGGTCTGCACCATAGGCCCCAGCCAGACTCCGCTCCACAGACTTGGACAAGGGACCCAGCAAGATACCATTGGGCAGCCCTTCACCCTCGTCCCTATCTTTGCCCCCCTCCTTTCGGTCAAAGGCGTTGTCTTTCTTGATCCACTCCTTCTTGCGGGACGAGTGCCGAAGGCCCTTGCGCTGGCTGCTCTCCGTCAATGAGTGGTGGCACTCTTCACTCAGATCCATCTCCATGGGGTCGCTGCTGTCCGCCATGCTGTGAGGGGCTCCAACTCCAGACTCGTCAAACGATGAGGCACTGTTGGCTGCGGGGGCTGAGGCAGATTGGGGAGAGCCATGCTGGCTTTCACTGTGCTGCGTGTCATCGTGGGAGGCTGCAACAGGGAGCGACGGGCTTTTTTTGGACAGGTCGAGGCCTAGCTCCTGGTCACCAGTGCTCCCATTTGCACTGCTGCCCCCACCGCCATTCTTACTGGCTCCCCTGCTTAAGGAGTGACAGTTCTCTTGGTTGGAGCTGCTGATGAAGACCTCGTCATCAGAAAGCTTTCCCTTTGACAGCTCCTTTGAGTGCGAGCCCTTCAACCCCTCATTTGACCCTGAATAGCGAGCTTGGATGACCGAAGCAGTGGAAAGTCTCTGACTCCTGGCAGATCTCCCAACACCAAGGCCACCGGCCTTGCCAGCAAAGGACTTGCCGTTCCGCTTCAGCTTCTTTCTGCAGAGAGCTGCCAGGTCGTGCAGTTGGAGGTAGCTTGCTGCGGTGAGGAGAGCATTAAAGTTCTGTTCACCGGGCTGGTCAGTCGTTAAGAGCTTACCAGTATAAATAAAGTCCAAGATCTGCCGGAACACGGTGGGGTTCACCATGTCCGTGTCTAAGTTAATCAGGTTGTCATGCAGGACAAGGGATTTGAAATACATGCTGCTGGCTGCCAGGATGTTCTTATGGGCACGAAACAGGGCATTTTCTACCACAATGATCACATCACAGAGGAAACCTTTGGCTCGTTGCTGGTTCAGCTGCAGTAGCAGTTGTTTGGCATGATTTGGCAGTTCCATCTCCACCTTCTCTTCCTTTCACCTTCACCTTTACCACCTGCAAAACAGGAGGATGAGAGGTGTGAACCTGCTGTTTCCACTTGAACAGGTCTACATTTAATAGACTTGCTTAACATGGTACAATCTATGTTAGGCTTGACACTGACTAAGGAGCTCTGGGTACATTCAGCCCTGCAAGCTGTGATCCTGCTTGGAATACAGAGAGAAGTATTTCTCATGCGAAGATTTGATTCAAGTCTCAAAAATGAGATTTGTAAATATCTTTTTACAAAAGCAATCGTCGTTGGCTGGAATTACTATTCAAAAGATAAGAGCAGGAAAACAATAGCTAGGTACAGGGGAAAGCATTTTCCCTCTTCTGACACAAATCTGAAGGGAGTATGAGGAGCAAAAAAAAATAGAAGAAAAAAGCGCATCTACTTCACTGCCATTTACATATCTGAGCATGTAAAATAATTATCATAAGCTGCAGCTTCCCTGCTTTAACATACAGTTTGGTTTTTGGCTCTTACATGTTGAAATCTTAAAACACCCAGCTGTTCTGAGGTTGAGAAAATGGCATGTAGCAACTAAATCCATTGAAGATGGAATTAATCACACTGAGGTGTGAATGGGAAATCTCCTTAAGAGTATGAAAGGCTGCTTTAAAAACCACCCCCCTGCAATGTCCATATCCCAGTCCATTTACATGAAGGGCTAGAATCAACCCTGAACTGGCTGAAATTCAGGATGATGAGCTAGCTAAATGCCACCAAATGTCTTCAACAATCTGAAACTATTTTCTTAAATTAATTCTGACCTGCCTTTTGTTTTGAAGGGATGTCATTTAAACTGATAGACTCAAGTAATCATATAAAGTCTCTCTACCTTGAAGTACTGGGAAAAGATTAAAATTATCGTTACCTCTGTGTAGTTTATGTATTTCACAAACAGTATTCACTATGTATTTTAGTTTAGATATTTATATTGACTTTTCCAGTATTATGGACTGTAAGAAATATGTAGTTTGAGGCGTATCAGAACTAATTGCAGTTGCACACTTGGTAGGTACTACAATACCTAAAAACTAGAACTTAAATCAGGGGCTGCATTCAGGAATCCAAGATCAATTTTTAAACCTTTTTTCTTGAGTTTTTTGTTTGAAAGTGCCAACTACTACTTGTAAGGGGCATTTATCTGTTAAAGTTGATTTAAAATAGTTTCTGAGGTTCAAATGTAAGAATTAAATATCAAACATACAACAGCCACCTTTAGCCTTCCACTTCCTTCCTTCCTTTTCCAAGTTCACTGTGGTATTGAAACAGATTTGTCTTACTGAAGGAGAGGCAGGCCATAAGTCCATAGAAATGAAAAGCTTAAATTCTCTCTTAAAATCATCATTAGTTAATGTTTTTATTGCTTGTGAGTCCCTTTATCACATTCCATCCCATCAGATTTCAAATGATGAAGCATTAGACTGTATTATCTTCCCTCTGTGTCAAGTATATGTGTATATAAGAAAAAGAACTAAGTAGTGATGCTGTCAATATAAAAAAGAACCTCCTTCAAAACTTATTCTTACTAACTGGCAATAAATAGAAAGATTTAATTTGGCAGAAAGGTGATAAATTTACATCATCCATTTCTGCACAACAAAAAGACTTTGCGTTATGAAAAAAGCTACCAAAAAGTAAACAAATGCAATTTTTTCTTCAATGCTGATGCTTGACTAGCCTGGTACTTATACTTTTACCAACAGATCTGCCAGGCAGGTGCCTCCCTTCTTCAACAGGACACATTTCTTCAACTGGTTAGCTGGTCAGCCTGGTGCTTGGATATGCATTTGGTAGAATTTTGTGGCCCCTGTTCTGTGCACCAGCACCTAATTTTGCATCCACACAGATATCAGTGGCTTGTCGACTCACAGCTAAAATGGCTGCTCTGCTTTTCTGTTCTATATTGTTTTAGTAATGGATGGGACACAAGAAGACGGTGGAGTCACCACTGTGCCTTTTTATGCAAGTGAATGTTGTTCCCAGAGGTGGCTGGCTTTAGAAGGGGTGGCAGCCGAAAGGAGGAAATACAGGCTTGCCATGGTGCTAGCCAGTTATTTCTTCTCCATCTATAGTATTTCTGACATAGAAATTCACCCTGCAGCATCACAAAAACGTGATAAGAGACAGGGATTACTACCACTGAACAGTGTTGAGCACTTTAAAAACAAGTTTTGCTGTAATTAGTTACATCAGAGTTGCAGCATGCAGGCAATGTGTCTGGTTCTAGTGGCTTGCTTCCAGAACTGCTGATTAAGAGGAAGAAGCAACAGCACAGAGGCACCAAATATTCACTTTTATCTAGCCAGGCCAGTAAAAGCACTTACTTCTGGGTCACTGAGATACATTGATAGGGAAGGACAAAAACATGGCTTGCAACGTAACACAGCATCTATATATAAATGCATCCTGCTCAAGAATAAGCAAGAGACAGACTACTGCGACGCTATTTCACTACAAACATAATGGTGCTTCTCCATGCATAGAACACACAAAATCCCTGGATACAATTTTGAAGTGTTCCATAAAGGACAAATATGGGAAAGGAAACAGCACAGTCGATATTTTTCGCCTAAACAGACTAATAAAAAAAAAGTATGTTACTGAAGTAAAAGCAAACTTATTTCCTATTCATGTGGCACTTGAAGCAGAGGTCTAGAAATCTCTGTATACGTGTTTGTCTAAGCCTTTGCAAGAGTCAAGGCTTGCTGCAGCTAGTAAAGGGAAATATTTTTAGATTTTTCTTTTTTTTTTTTTTCTTTCTGCCTTAAATGATATTGAAACCAGGTAATGAGCCTGCTGGGAAAGCCCTGAAAACAGGGGTAGAATTATAGTTCTGCTTTTTACTGACCTTCATGAGGAAGATAATGTTATTATTAAACCTCAGTAGGTTCTGCAGCATAAAAATTAGCATAGTACAAGTTGTTTAAATTACCTCTATTTATCTCACATGTCAAATTTTACAGAAGTATTCATGTTCAGTAGGACGTAAGTATACAGTAGGTTATTACCTTTAGTAGATTTTAAAAGCAGTGGTCAGGTTTAAGCACCATAACACTGCCTATCGAATTTGAATTTGTTAGCTGAAGTCTAACGTGGATTTAGCAACCCCAACAAAATGAATGTAATGGAACAAGGCAGCAAAACCTTCAGCCAAGTTTAGAGCCTTGTGTTTAAAATTTTGGCAGAATTGCCCACTGAGGGCTTTTACCAGGACAGCAACATGGGTCAGGGGAACACACCTTTGACTGACGTACCTTTGTTGACAAAAGCTTTATAGCATCAACCTGGCTTGTTTATCTTGTAGCAGTCCTAAACAAAAACAAATCTATTCCAGATATTTTCCAGAGCTGACCAGTTACAAACCCTTCGTTAGCAATGATGCATTTCAGAGGTAGAGGAAGAGGGGTGTGTTGGAAAACTTGTTAGCAAAAGACAAGCAGGCATTATTCCTTAATCTATGGCATTCCTAAAATCTCACTTAAGTCCGGTATAAAAGTTAGCAGATCATCCCAAACAAATGGCAGGTGCAGCCTTACAGAGGCCTTGCTATCCATTAGTTTGCAGAGACTGGCTCTTTAACAAACCCTGAACGTTTGGATAACATCACTGCCACCAATAGTAACAACAAAAACCCCATAAAGCCTTGGAAAATCACAGTGGTTTGTTTCTTGTATCTCAGTATAATTTTTAAGAACCGTTCCTTTTCTGTTTTCTGCCAAAAGATAGAATACATACTCCCAGTTCAGAGGAGCCCTGGCTCAGAAAAGCCTCAGATGCTCTTCTTTCTAGTAAAAAAAACCCAAATCCCAGACCTCAAGAATATGTAGATGTCTCACTGGGGCCACAGTCTTTTATAATTGAATTTGGTGTGCAACATTTCACTTCTTTGCATTTAAAACAGGATCACAGAAGGCTTTGGACAAATAGCATTAGAGATGGGGCTTTTTTTCGGATTCAGGTTGCTTCCTAGTCATTTAAGACACATAGTTTTCAGAGCAATTGAACCTGCTCAAATATTCTTGTGCAAGTACAGAATGAAGCAAGACTGAGGCTCTCCACTACCTCCACCATATCCATGACACTGAGACACAGCACATGCAAAGACATGAAAAATACAGGGCACAAATCACAGAATACAGTAATGCTGCAAGCAGATGCCACACATCAAACAAAGCTTGGCAAGCTAAAAGCCGATAGCGTTTTCATAAGCAATACTGCCCAAAGGAGCTGAGTAACTGTGAGCTGCTGTGCCCAGCCTGGGGCACACTGTGATCCCGTGGGCATGAAGACTGTGCAGAACACACAGACTGCTCCAGGAGCTGTGCTGCTCTCACTACAAAGCAGGAAAAACTTAATTTTCTCTCAATTTCCACAAAGACTCTGGATGTCACAGAAAATTAGATTGCCCAAGTACAGGAGAAGAGGAATCCCTTCACCCCTTTAAATAGTATAAAATCTACATATTCACTACAGATTTGATTCTCTTTAATATCACTAAATCTCTTCCTCAAAGTAATTGCTTGAATGAATGCTAAATGTGTTATCTTAGCAACCTCTGGCAGGAGATGCTATTTGATTTCATTTTTGAGTTATAGATTGCAGCATATGAATATTGTTTACCTTTTAAGAAGCAACACCAGTGAAGCAAAGAATCAATCAAAAACAGATCTAAGGAATCACTCATTTCACGTAGAGGATTTGTGGATGGATGAGAAGGCTAGACACCGAGCACCTGAACAGTGAGCTAACAGTACTGCAGATAAAAACCAACAAACAGATTAGATGTGATGTATCAAATTAGATGCTGTTAAAGCATTAGCCTACTGTGCATGTTATAATAACACCTAAAAAAGATAATGGCCTGCTTACTTATTTCTCCACCTTCCCAAGCAGTTGTGCTGCACGAGCAGACACTGCAGCAGTGAGCATGGGGAAGAACAAGACAAAATTAAACCAATTGTTTCCTGCATTGCTCTTTCCCATCATTTTACTTCTGACATTAAAAATGCTGTGTCCAGCTGCTACTGGATCTGGGTGAAACTGCAACAGATGACTTCTGCACCTTTCCGTTTCAGATGAACTAACTTTTTTTTACCATTTGGGAGGCACTGAGAAGAGAGCTTTCCTGTTGCTCCTCTCCCCACATCCCAACAGAACCTGTTTCCAGGACTCTCCCAAGGTATCAAGTGGGCTTTCATGGCCGCTAACCTTCGCCCCAGGAGCTGCAGTTGGCAGGTCATTAGCCCATGCCTTGTAAAGGTATTCACATTCCCGAGCAGCAGAGGCACAGGGAGGAATGCAGGAACTGTGTTAGCCCAAATGGTTCCCTATCCCCAGCCCCTGTGAGCAGGCAGACAGCAGAACTCGGAAGCAGAGGCAAAAACATGCATTTTCATCATTGGCAGTGGAGCAGCAAAAGCTCTGTGAAGTGGGCTCAAGCAGAAAACAGGATGCAGCACCCTTGTTTTTCTCACAGGAATATCTCTCACTTCAAAATAGGTAAGACCAGAATGCCGAGTTACTTGGGGAGAGCTGTGTGGAGCTGGGGAAGGGAGAGAAAGCGACATGCAGGACAGAGCAGGATGTGCGGCTGATGTTGCAGGTGTGTACATGGAAAGGAGAAGGAGAATGGGGGATCATTTTGCAGAGGATACCACATCAGCAAACTTAAAAGTGGCCCTTGTTTAGTTTGTTACATTCCAATCAGTGCCAGGCAGAGCTGCCCTCCCAGGTCCCTGAAGCAGCTCCTGCAGGACTCCGGCAGAAAGGGTATAGCTTTGCTTATGGACACAAGCACCAGTTCGGTACCTCTGTGCGGCAACATTTGGACATTAGGAACATGGGCAATACATGCTCAACTGCTACCAGCTCCTGGCTCAAAAAGGAGAGAAGAAAAAGAGTCAGATGATTTCCCAGTCCCTTCTCTTTCCTGTTCTAGAATAACAAGGAGAGCCTGACATGGCTAGGCCCTTCTCTACTGCATGGCAAACTGCCCAGAGAAGGGGAATCTCCATGGGTGCAGAGGGTAGGGGCCCTGTGTGCATGAAAGCACTAACATCAGGAGAGCAAAGTGATTTCCAGTCAGTGCAAGGCTGCAGCAAAGCAGGAACACCTTGCTATACAAGCTGAGACTAAGAGCAGTAGAATGATTAACCACTTGGTTGCCGCTTACCATGCCAGGTACATTGGGCTAAAGGCACCTCCATCCAGTGCTGCCCGACGTGCCAGGTACATCCCATGATGTTCCATTGAAATCACAACAGGCCATCAATAGAACGTGGCTGCACGGATGCAGAATGGAGAACCAGCAGGGACGCTGTTAAATGCAATTAAAAAACTGCAATCAAAATTGAAACGTACATTTTAAAACGGCCACCTGCCTTAAATACGTAACTACTAGAACAACCTCCCCTCCACCCATCTCCCCAGAACTGCTGAACTGTGACGGAAGGCCTCTGCAAGTTTCTTGATGACTCTCTCTGGCCACCTCCATTCAGGACTCCCAACAGCACTGAGCTTCAGGGGGACCAGTCCATATATATCCAAGAGCAGCAGATCCCAGGATGTCCGAACCAGCTTCATTCTGCCCAGAAACTAAATATCACCATTTAGAAATGCCTCAACAATGAGAAACATCTGGCGCCAGAGCTTCATGGTCTCGTTCCCCACACAGTACAGTCAGTGGAAGAAACACTTAAATGATGATCCTCTGTGTTGTCCCCATTTCCCTGTCCCTCTTCCCAAGCCTTTGAAATCCTGCTCTTCTAGAGATGTTATGGCATTGAGTCAGGCTGGATCCTTTGGCTTTTGTTGCGTATGTGGTGCAAGACAGGAAAGGAAAATGGTGTATACCCTCTCCTATTTACAATGATGCTTAACTGATAATTTAATCTACATTCTTGGAGACTTGAGATCAAGCTGATTCATAGTGAATGGCCGCTAGTACAAGAGTCACAAAACTTAAGATCTGTAATTCCACCCTTCCCCACCCAAAGGAAAAAGCAAATCTTTTCCATGTCAGGGAAAGGCACGTCCTACAGATACACTCAGCTTGTCAAGCCTAGGGTACCCTCTGCAGTGTGTATCCTCCCTCCAGAGTTCTTGTAATCATCTCCACAGGATTATCAAGGAGGACAATCTTAGGGTAGATGCTAAGCACAGGTCCCTTTCTGCCCTTCTACCCTTTCTAAGTGGTGATGCTGCCCCAGTGAGGAAAAAAAGTCAAAACAACACACAAAAACCCAGAACAGAAATAAGCCTGTGACCTCACAGGAATTTAAAATAGGTTTATAGACCCTCATGGCAAAGTTAAACTTCTGGATAGCGCTTGTCACATTGATAGTAGCATGTCTCCAGCTGTGCTTCTGGAGATAGAAATCTTACATTCAAAAAAGTTAGAAGAATACTGATTATCATTTCAACCTTGAAAGATAAGAGGCCAAATGAAAAAGACAATAATTAACGTAATTGGATGAGAGACAATGTAAAGGAGGACACTGGCCTGGGAAATAGAAAGTGCCTTTGCGAAAAGGACACTGAATGTAAGGAGATAGTTATTCATTCTTCCTGGACATCTGCTGGGCTCAGGCCCAGGACAGTGTTCCCATCATTCCCACCTGCATGCTTTATCCCGACAATTCTGTAACTAAATCCCTTTCACACTGAACTAATAGGTCTTTTGTATTCAGATCGCCCTGTTTTGACTGCTATAGACTGAAGATTTTTAAATCTTGTCAATACAATGAAGAAGTGAAATGTAAGCAAGTGTTTGCTTACTGACCTGGGCTCTGCTGAGCCAAGAGCATTTGCTGAACTAGTCTGAACGGACCACTGCCAGCACGAACAGGCCAACCCACATTTAAATAACATGCAACTTTAAAGCATAACGGCCTGGAGCCCCAGGGATTTGGAGCTCCCCCCTCTCCAAGAGATCACACACTCTAGACTGCATATGAGCAACATACTAATGGCTGCATCTGCCAGCATCAGGACAACACGCAGCAATACTCAGTTTAAGAGAGGCTGAATGCTTCATAAAGGTATTTATCGGTCAGCAGCTCAAATGCAGATTTACACCCAGATTACAACAATTTGCTTCTTGCTCCTGTGAAGCAAGAAACTCTTCTCCATATTTGTATTTCCCCTCTAGGGCAGAGATTAGCAGAGTACTGCTTAAAACAAAGGTGTTTCCTACTGTTAGAACATTACTGCAGTCAGAAATGAAGCTTCCTGCCAATTCTTAAACAGAGTCCTTGTATATTATACATTTATTTTCACTGCTGACATGGAGGGAGCCTAAGACTACCCAAACCCTTTAGTGGGAGGAGAATGTGAGAGGCATGGACATTGCAGATCTTGTCAAGCAGAGGCAGGCACTAAAAATTCCTGCATATCTGCAGAGCACAGTTGATCTCAGGAACACAGCAGTGGCACAAAATAAATAAAGCCTCAGAAGCTAGTGAGCAGCAATAGATGTTGGGCTCTTCTGCAGCCCTGCAAACAACTGAGCAAGCTCCATTCCAACTGGACCTGCAATGCAAGTAGTAAAGGCAGCTCTGATGTCCCATGCTTATATAATGACTCTATTGCACTAAAATACCCACATATTCAGTGGAGTAGCTCAACCCATACAGAAGGAAGGATGCTCATCCACCAGTTAAGGCCCCTTTGGTATGCAGAATTCCTCTTGTTCCCCAGCTACCTTTGAGCCTTGATGTACAGAATTCTCTCTTTACAATGCAAGAATTTAGGACATGACTAAAGGATTGTTGCTACCTCCCAGCTAATCCTAGAGAGTGTTCGGCAGAATCAACAAACCTACGAATTACATGGAGCAAGAAGATGCTTCTGGTCCTAAAAACTTGGGCCCTGTTCTTCAGTATAGTAGACCACAGTTGGCCAGGGGTGCACAGGGTGGCAGCTTCATGCTGAGCACTGCTCTGGGGCCAAAAGCACACAGCATGGTGAAAAAGAAATGTCATGACCCTTTTCCAACCGACAGTTTTACAGCACCCTCCCAGTTGCAGCACTGCTTTAGGGCTCTGAGTCACCACAGGTACAAGCTGATAGCCTGGTTGTGAAATGCAGCAATACTGGAGCAAATGCATGGCCCTTTCAACTGTCACTGCAACGGAGGAGGGATCTCCAGGAGAGGGATGAGGCAGAGCAGACGGCTGGGAGTGTTTAAATCCACTGGTGACTGTGACTCAGACACCTTAGTTATGGGGTTTGTTAGAGCAAACAAGGCCTCAGAGTACTGGGAGAAGTGGGAGAGGGCTTGATAAAGATCCTTGCAACTGGCCTGCTTATTTTTATTTCTTGTGTGGACTCAGCAAACTTTTCTGCAGATACAAGCAGTTTGCAGAGGAGCAACTGCATACAGAACACTGGTATTATCATGAACTTGTTGCAATAGTTAACACTGAGCCCCATACTGAGGGGTGCAGGAAGGACATGGGTAGTAACAGCCTTGGACCAAAATGTCATCTCTCTCACCACATGGCAGATACCAGTGGGCACAGAAACAAACTTCGCTGTCTCATTTTCTTCTACAAGACCAAATCTCATTCCCTTATCTCATCCATACCTACAGATGCAGCAGCAACAGTTCTCCTTAACATAAATAAAACAATGCCTTAAATACAGCACTTTTTGCACGTTATCCAGCAATTTTATTCTCCCCAAGAACTGTCCAGATACTCTGTCCTGTACTTCCCAGATAAATCTTTGTCTCTAAGCTTCCAAAGACTTTAGTGAAGTCTTTCAAGCAAACCACTGTTTAAGAGTTGGTCCTGGCGGTATCAAGTATCAAGACTGCCAAACATCCCTCCAAATTGCATGCTTAACTGAACACCCTGAACCCTCATATATTTGGTTCTTTGCAACTACCAAAGTTTTTCTGCAAGTCTGAGCTTGGCAAATGAGAGGATGCCAGAAAGTCACTGTTGCTTGTAAAAGCAGAAGGCCTAACAGACTCAAAGTTTTGCAAACTGTCTGCGTTGTATCCAAATCTATCCAAGTTGATGATAACCTAAGGGGAAAGCAGGGTTTACTCATTTTCAAAATTCTTTGTTTCCTTGGCTGCCTTCTCCTCAACCACTACTTCTCATTTTGACTGTTTCATTCCCCTGTCTTCTTCACTTAAGACTTCCTTTAAACTCAACTCACAGGCTACAAGGGTCACTCCACATATGCTTCCAAAATCCACCTCTTCCCAGCAAGACTCCCATCCTGCCATCCTTATCCTGCAGCACTGCACAACAGTGGTCCAGGGCTGCAGATATCTCATGTGCATTTGGCCAGCCTTCTCTGTCAGACAGTTGCTCAGCTTTGGGGATTACAGCCCCAGGCACGTTATGAAAGGCAGCCCAGCAAGGTCATGGGGTGTTGAAAACTTTGCTACAATCCAAAGCACAGGATCTTCCTCCTTTCCTTCTCTACACACTATTCTTGTCAAGGTCAAGGATTTTCTGGCAGTCCTCAAAACACACAAATTACAGGCTCTTGTCATAAATCAAGACTTAAAACATCTCTCCATTTAAAAAAAGCGGAAGGCGAAGAGCAATACAGAGGGGAAGGTACTTTTGCCGAAGATTTGGTTTTGAAAAGGGAATTAGCAGCCTATGCATGTGCTGTACCCTGTAATCTGAAAGCTCCTCAGGACAGGACCCCTAGAAGCATTTTATACTGAACATATATACACCCCAGAGCAAAAGAACCGGCGGCTTCCCGCATCCGTTCCAGTCTGCTCGGCTTCTCCTAAATCAACACTGCCAGAAGGCAAGACAGCACTATAACAAATTAGCACCACTCACAATTTGTTGAAGTTGCTGTTCCATTGTTTGTTTATTTAAAACACGCGCGCACGCACACACACACACACACACAAACCTCTCAAACTTGCTCTCTGCTGCCATCACCCAAACTCCAGATTTGTAGTCTCAGAGACAGAGGCAAGCAAAGGCGGTGGGTTAAACCCAGACAGAGCAACAGCCACTGCACTGGGACTCTGCCTGGATTGTGCTCTTTCACTACAAGCAGAATGCCCACACTGTTCCAGCCTGGAAGATCACGGTGTCGAAATCCGTATTTCGGCACTTGACTAGGAAAGTGTTGTTAAGAAAAAGAGCCACAGGCTTGAAAGGACCCAGCACTAATAAAACTCTTAGTGGTAATGCTATTTATGAACAGCCAAGGGATAATCTGCACCCCTTATCAACCCACAAGATTATAAGATCCTTAAAATAGGAAACATGCCTTACTTCATAAAGCAATGTATAAATTTACAAAGCACAATATTAGCGGTAATAAATAATT